TTGCTCCAGGAAATTTGAGATAGGATGACAGTAAAACGGCAATGAAATGTCTTTGAAATAAAAGCCAGGGAATACGCGTTCGGTGGCGGTTTACGAATGAACGCGAGCGTATCGGAGACGAGTTCCCGTCACTGGCGACCTCGTCGTCCAGCCAATGTAATTTCCGAAGGCTTTGATCTTCGATTTTTCCAGCGAGAGTAACCGCGTGAGAGTTGACTCTGCGCTGTTCGCCTTTTGTACACACATACCGAGCATAGCACCAGCGAATAATTTCAATCGCGTGTCTATTAAGGATAGTGTTAATCAAGCGAAAGAGAGAATGTTTCGCGAGATGGAAAAGTTCTGTTGAAACCATCTCTTGTGATACCAAAAAGTGATTTTCTTCTGTGGTCTTATACTATTTGCGACGAGGAAACTTTCGAATGATTGGTTTGTTTATATTTTAAGCGACATTTCATTTTATAATCGATTACGATTACACATATAAATATTATAGAATACGAACTTAACCTAGGCTAAGAAAGTCGAACAGTAGTGATACACAATATAAGAAATGTATACAAAGGTTTTTAGGTACGATGGTCTGCCTGTCGAAGTTGTTGATTTGAAGTAATCTGTATTTTCCAGTCGTTTTGAAAAGACGAATCATTCAGGTATTGCACATAATCGTGAACTAATCTGATTCAAATTTTGTATATATATATATATATATCTTCTTCAGAATTATTAAATATTGGTTACATATCCAACAGTAAACGAAATGCCTTATAAAACTGCCTTCTAAAAAGAATTCAAATACAATCATATTCTGTATGCAGTAACCTTCATTTAATGATATAAACATTTGAGGATATAAACTTTTAATGATAGAAAAAAAAAATTGGGCACAAAAATACAAGACAGGTAAGTATAATAAAATTTATATATTTATTCCAAATATATATACATATAAATGCTTAAGGTATGCGCGAAAATTCGGAAATCTTGTTATAAAATATTTTTTCGTTTCTTTTTCAATTTTCTTCTACTGAATTAAAAAAATGAGACTAAATATATTTACTTGGCATTGCATAATATGTAATTATGTTCTAAATATTATATATCGTATCAAATCACACACACATTTTTTGTAAAAATAAATACTAACTTATCTGCAATATATACTTTAATTAATTCAGTTTATTTGAAATATATTAAGTCATATTATTATTTTTTTTAAGCTTTGTTATTGTAAATGTAAATATGATATTTCATTATAAAAAATAAATTATGTTATAAATATATCTGTATTTTATCAGTTTTAACATATAATAGATCTTAAAAATATGTATTGCATATTTTTTGTATATATAAATTACTGAGTTTTTTAAAAACAATATCTTTCTATACATAACAGCAAAGACAATTTTAATCGTCCAAGTATGTATAATATATGCTCTATCTTCCCCCCCCTCTCCCTTAAAGATAACTAAGTTCCATCTCCCAATTATTATTATTATTATCCTTATTGTTATTAAAATCTCAACATCAGCAATTAAATTACATAAAACTGTAACCATACCAGAATTATAAGATATATAATAATAAGATATATGATAATAAATAACTAAACAATAGATAAGAAACCATTCCTAACCCATCCTATCCAATTAAAATTCTAATTACATTTGGTCTAATTAATATTAAAATTATTGATAAATAATTGAAAAGTAAATAACACAATAAATAATTAAATCGATTTATGTACCTTTCTAAACTTATATATATTATTCTATACATATTTCACAATATAATATTCTATAATATAATTCTATAACAATAAATACTATTCTATAATATAATTGAAGAAATTATTATAATATAATAAATAATATAGAAATTCAATCAATTAATATTATACAATAAATTTCAAATTTA